ATTTAAACTTATATGTCTAAAGCATTTCACGTAACATTAGGGTCTCGAGATGCATCCATTCACCTACAAATTCCTCAAGGTCAGTTTTCCTTATGGCAGAGAAGTACTCTGTTTTGCACAAGTACCATGTTTGATTTGTGCATTCGTCTGTTGTTGGGTTTATCATCTGTTTCTAAGGTTTAGCTATTATAAATTGTGCTGCTATAAACATGGGTGTGCCTTCATCACTGTAATATGATGACTAACTTTTTTGGAATATACCTAGAAAGGGAATAGCTGGGTTAAATGAAATTTTTAGTTTATTTTTTTCTAGGTACCTCCATACTGATCTCCAGAGTGGTTGCACTAGTTTGCATTCCCGTAAACAATGTAGAAGGGTTCCTTTTTCCTGCAGCCTCATCAGCATTTGTTATCATTTGATTTCTTTTTCTCTCTTTTCTTTTTCTTTTTTCTTTTTTTGGTACTGGGGATTGAATTTGGGACCTTGTACCTATGAAGCAGGCAGGAGAACCACTGAGTTAAATCCTGGCCCTGTTATCATCCCTGTTATTTGATTTTTTGATAATAGCCATTCTTTCTGAAGTAAGATGGCATCTCAGTGTTATTTAGTTTGATTTTCTAATGGCCAATGCTATGGCTCATATTTAGATGTCTCCTGAAAGCCTCATGCACTTATAGATGGTGCTTTTTGATGATGGCTGGATCCAGGATGTGTGATACTGGGATTATGGATATGTGGTACTAAATTAGACCACTGATTGGTTTAGCATAGTACTGGGTATGGGTAATAAGAAGGCTGTTCGGATGTGGGTGGTACCACTCTTGTATCCTGAATGGAATCTAAACAGACAGAAAGAAACTGGGCTCATCACTTGCTGTTTGCTGCTGCTGCTTGCTGCCTCTTGCCTATCTTTCCATGAACAGTTTCTCCTCTGCCATGCCAACCTGCCTTGGAATGGAATAAAACCTCTACAAACTGTGGGATGAAATAAGCCTTTCTTGCTTTAAATGTGGGTGTTGGGTATTTTTTCCCAACAACAAGAAAGTAACTAAGATAGCCAGAAATATTGAATATTTTTTCATGTATTTATTGGCCATTAGTACTTCTTCTGAGAAGTTTGTATTCATTTTGGTTACCCATTTTTTGACTGAATCTTTTATTCAGAGGGGGTTTACATTTTTGTTTTCTTTGTATCTTATAAGTGTCAGTCTTCTCTCCAGGTAATAGCTGACAATTTTTTTTTCCAATCTGTACATTGTCTCTTCACTGTGTTGGTTGTTTCCTTTACTGTGCAGAAGCTTTTAATTTTATATGACCCATTTGTTTATTATTAAAATTATTTCTTGTGCAATTGGTGTTCTGTTCAGAATGCCTTTGCCTACTCCTATGTCTTCACCAATTTTAGTTATTTTATCTTCCAATAGTTTGCTTCTGTTTTAAAGTTTAGATATTTGATCCATTTTGATTTTGGTTTAGTACAGGATATATATGGGTCTAAACTCAGTCTTCTGCATGTATTCAATTTTCCCAGTACCATTCATTAAAGAGGTACCTTTCCTCCAGTGTATGTTTTTGGCCCCTCTGTTGAAGATCAAATAACTGAATCTGTCTCAACTCATTTCTGTTTCCTGTGTTCTGTTCTACTGATCCACATTTCTGCTTTTGTGCCAGTACAGCACAGGTTTTTTAATCATGGTGGCTTTATAACAAAACTTCAATTCTGGGATTGTGATTCCTTTTGCTTTGCTATTTTTACCCATTTGGGGTAATATTCTTACCTTTTGCATTCTGGGTCTCTTCTGGTTCCATATGGCTTAAAACTGTTTTTCTAGATCTGTGAGAAATGCTGTTGGTAGTTTGATTAGTATGGTGTTAAATCTATACATATATCAATTTTGGAGGTATAGCCATTTTGATTACATTGGTTTTCCCTACCCAGGAACATGGAATATCTTTCCATTTTCTGATGTTCTCTTCAGTCTCCTCCTTCAGACTGATGTAATTTTCATTGTGAAGGTCTTTTACTTCCTTGGTGAGGTTAATTTCTAAGTATAGCATTGTTTTCTTCATTTCTTTCTCAGAGATATTAATAGTGTATAGGAATGTTATTGATTTGAATGTGTTGATTTTGTATCTTGCTACATTGTTGAATTTGGTTATTAATTCTACCAGACTTTTAGTGATGATTTGAGGCTTGTAAATGTAGGGTTAGATCATCTGCAAGTTATGATACTTTGGCTTCTTATTTTCTTATCCATATCTCTTTTATTTTCTTCTGTTGCTTGATTGCTTTGGTTAATGTTTCAAGGGAGATGTTGAACAGAAGTGGTGATAGTGGACATCCTTCTCTTGTTTCTTTTTTTTATAATTAAAATATTTATTTCTTTTTTATCATTGAGTTTATTGGTACATTTTAGGTATACAGTACAGTTCCTTCTCTTGCTTCTGATTTTAGAGAGAAAGCTTTAAATTTCTCCCCATTTAAAATGATGTTGTCAGTATATTTGTCATAAATGTTTTTATCTGGTTGAGATATAATACTTTGATATCTTTTTTTTCAGGATTTTAATCATGAGTGAGTGTTGGATTTTGTCAATACCTTTTACTGTATCTTTAAGAAATTATATGATTTTTGTCCTTTCCTCTGTTTATTTGATAATTACATTTATTGATTTGTATATGTTGAACCATCCTTGTATCCCTGGGATGAAATCTACTTGGTCTTTTAATGATCTGTTACATTCTGTTTGCTGGTATCTTATTGAGGATTTTTGTATCTATGTTCATTAGAGAGATTGGCCTATAGTTTTATTTTTGGCTGGAATCTTGTCTAGTTTTGGAATAAGTCTAATATTATCTTCCAGGAATGACTTTGATAGTATTCCTTTCCTTTCAGTTTCATTAAAGATTTTGTGGAGTTTTGGTGTTAGATCTTCCCTGAAGATTTGGTAGAATTCAGCAGTGAATCCATTAGATCCTGGACTTTTCTTGGTAGGTTTTTTTTTTTTTTTCATTACTGCTTCAATTTCATTGCATAAATATTGGATTAGTCAGGATTTTAAAGTCTTCTTGTTTCAGTTTTGGAATATGTGCATATCTAGAAATTTCTTCATTTCTACTTGGTTCTCCAATTTGTTTGTATACAATTTTATGAAGAAGTTGGTAATAATATTCTGGATTTATTCTTTGTTCATTTCTAACTGCATTGACTTCTGTATTTTCTTTCCTTTTTTTTGGTGACTATGGGTTTGTTTAGTTTATTTTTTTTTTAAAGAAGACCCAGTTTTCCGATGCATTCATTCTTTGTATTTGTCTTTTAGTCTCCATTTTATTGATTTCTGTTCTGATCTTTATAATTTCCTTCTTTGAACTGTATTGCACCTTTTTAAAGTAGACATGATATTTATATTATGATGTGGTTGAGTATTGTAAAAATGACTTCAATTATAAACAATATCGCATAGTATTTTACATGGTAATTTTATAGTTTTTCAAAGAAATTTAAGAGAAACTTGCTAGAGTAGTTATATGCATAGCAACATCAATATTTCAAGGAATTTGCTAAACTTTTAAACTTGTAAAAGTGATAAAAATACTATTTTACCAGAAAATAGGAGAAAAACAGCAAATTAAACTCTAATGATGTTATTATATTGACAAAAATGATTATGTGCGTATCACAGATTCTCAAGCTGTATACTTTCAGATTTCATGCTGGTGTGGCTACTGCATCTTAATTAGGAATCTGTCTTTCATTAACTCACCATTGTTTTTGCAATCTGTTTCAAACAAATTAATTTCACATCTCTTTATTTCATTAGCTTCACTAATGAATGATACCCACATAAAGAGTCACTCAACACTTATAATATCAAATTCTCTTCAGTTGAAATGTTTGCATATTTATTTTTTAACATATATTTTATTATGAAATAGAATAAAATAATTTCTTTTTTCAAATTGCTTTATCCAAAATAAACACTTCCTAATAAAATTGAAGTCACTATTATATTCATCTCAGTCATATGTGAAATTCATTTAAAATTTGACAATCATATTTTTCCTGTTAAGATGAGAATAAATTCTCAGTGTTAAATCATCACTCAGAGTACTTCTTTGATTGCCAAAAATAAACTTATCTCAGTGCTTTTTGAAACTTGAATAAATATTTGACTGTGGAAGGTAAAGCCACTGCTGTACAAAAAATCATAGTGTGCCTGTTTCCAGTTTCTTCACAGTGATTAAATAGGATAGGTAAAAATTGTGTGTGCTACAAATAAGCAGGCTGTCCTCAAAGCACTGGTGTAGAAATCTTTAAAATGTACAGTAAAAACTTTGAAACACATATATAAAATCACATTATGACACATATCATATGGCACATTTCAAGTATTACCAAAACTGAAATGAGAAGACTTAAAAATCTTGACTAATGCAATATTATGCAATGAAATTTAAGCACTAATGAAAAAAGACCTACCAAATGCTCAATGATCTTACTCATATGTGGACCCTCAAATAGTTGATCTCATAAAAGTTGATGGTAGAGTGGTGGTTGCCATAGCTTGGGAAAAGTCAGGGAAAGGGACTGGAAAAGGCTGACCAATGGGTACTGTTATAATTTCATAGGAGTAAGAAATTCTGTTGTGCTATGGAAAAATAGATTGTTATACACGGTGATAATGTACTGTACATTACTAAAAGCTAGAAAATTGATTTTGAATCTTATCATAAATAAAAAATAAGTGAGGAGATCAGGAGGGGTGTTTACCCTGATTTAATGAATAGTGCATATTATACACACATATGAAAATAGATGGAACACATTATATTTTAGTTCATTAAAAACAATCATACTGGTCTAGCATTCTTTCCAGGAACAAATGACTAAAGTTATCTCATCTATAAAGTTCATGTCATCTTTTGTCCTGCATCCTTGGACTCTGTTATTATTATTATTATTATTGTGAAATGGAGAAAGAAAATGTTATTGGTCATCTTTCTTTCCCATTGCTGGGACAAAATGTCAATCAACTTAAAGCTAAAAAGGATTATTTGGCCAGTGGTTTCAGTGGTTTCATTCTGCAGTCAGCTGGCTTCAGGGTAGAAATGTCTTGGCAGAAGAGTTTGGTTGAGCAAACTCTGAGTTCATGGCAGCTGGAAAGCAGAAAGGGGGAAGGAGATCATGAGATAAAGGGTCCAGAGACCAGATAGACTACACGAACCACCCATATATACCCAGAAGTTTGCTTTTCAGATCCTCTACACAGATCTTAAGCCAATCACAGTGAAAATTAAGCTTAACTGTCACTGCATCATTTGTTAACTTTGCCCTCCGGGACATCATCTCAAACCATACTTAATCTCCAAATAAAGGGTATAACATGCTTATGATTCCACATAAAGTTATTCAATTATTCTGTCCACATTGAAAAAATGCAATGATTCCCTTCCCCAGCATCTCAACAGATCCAGCATTGTGTAAAAGTTTGTCTTTTTTTTTTTGTACTGAAGGCAAACTCTTATCTAAAATATGCCTACTAATTTGAAAAGCAACTTAAACATTCCCAGTATATGATGGTACAATGTAAAGATTCTCATTGCAAAAGAGAGGAGGACACCAAAGAAGAGGACCAAACAAGACCAAAAATCAGCAGGGCAGTTTTTACGTTCCATAGATTTATTTCCACCATCTTGGATACATGGTGGTAAGATGTGTTCCAAAGGGCTTAGGTGGCCCCAACTGAGTGCTTTACTGGTTGTAACACACACAACATAGCTATCTTTGGCATATTTTACATTCCTGACATCTCCAACCCCCTGGGTTCTCTACTGCTCCTTCAGGTTTTATTTCTACCGCATCACACATCCAACTTTCATGGGCACACTGCCTGCCTACTAAGCTCTTTTTAAAAAACATCTGTGTGAAAACTTCCATGATTCTACAACTCTTGAATTATGCATACCTGACAAACTCATGTGACTTGGATGACACCAAGGTCTATTGCCAGCGCGGGCAGTATACAGGCCTCCTTGACTCCTACACATAGCAGTTTCTGAATACTAGAGAATTGAGCCTGGTGAATTAAAGAAGTGTCAGGGAACCAGTTGCCTAGGAGGCCCTTCTGCACTGTGTCTCTTCTTAAATTTAAGATTTACAATTTTTGCAACTGTCAGTCTGTAATGTGTGAGTCTTACTGATTCCTGAGATTATCTCAAGGAATCTTTCTTGCCTTTGTACAAAGTACTTGCTTTCATTTTAATTGCAGTAATCTCTTCAGTGAACACAACATTTTTGGTTCCAAATTTATACTACTTGCTTTCTGGCCAAAATTCAAGATTTTCTAATCTTGATGTTCTGCTTTTGATCATTATTCTTACTACAAATTTAACTAAAAGAAGTAAGCGGTACCCATACCAAATCTTGAATCTGCCTTAAAATTTCCTCTACTATATCAATAAGTCAGCTTTTAAATCAAACTTCACACAAAAGCTTAGGACATAAGCAAATGCACACACACACACACACACACACACATGCCCAATATTGTACACATGGCCTCTAGTCCAAATCTCAATGAAATCTTCATTCCCAGTGGAAACCTGCGATCCTGACCTTTACTGCACACATCCCTAGCAGCCTTCTGGTCTTTGGAAATCACAGTAGAATAATCTTTCAAGTTCTGCTTACAATCTTGGTTTTCTCCAGTCTGATTCTTTAAACTTTCCCAACATCATTCCTTAAACCAGTTTCAAAGGCTTTTGAACCACCTGGTCAGGTATGGTCACAGTACCTACCCAGCTTCTTTGGCACCCATCTTCTGTATTAGTTAGCTTTCACATTTCTGGAACAAAATAACTGACACCCACAAATTAAGGCAGGAGAGGTTTAATTTAGTTCACGGTTTCAATTTGAGGTTGGCTTCCTCCAATGCAGCAGTACCATGTGTGACAGCACGGCAACAAAGTTTCGAATTGCATCTTGGCATTTCCACTTACCTAAGTAAAATTGTCCCTAAATCCACATTTATAGGAATTTATTTCCATACAAGTACAATAGAGGGGACAAGTTTACTAGTCTGGATATAAAGAATCCCTGGATATTTTTTTCATATTGGGGATGCAACTCAGGACCTTATGCTTGCCAGGCAGGCGCGTCACCACTGAGCCACACCCCTGGCCCAAGATTCTCTGGATATTTATCCAATGTCTTCATTCCCAGGTTACCAAAGGACAGAAGTGATGCTGTGAATTTCTTGACTACATCTGTCTATAACAATTTAGAATACATCTATCTCAAGAGAGTGTTTAAATTATCTTAAAGTGCTGTTAACTCTAAGATAAATTTACCATTTTAGTACAAAATTGCATATTTTTTCCAAATAAGCAGAAATAAAATTAACAAACGATATCAATTATATAAATCTATGTTTTTCGAATTTTGCAGTGTTTTGTTGGAAAAATCTTTGAGACTTTGGTTTAAATCAAAGCTAAATAGAATGTGTTACAGTCTACCAAATAATGGCATAGTATCTTGCAGTTTTACGCTTATTTGATGGTGTTACAGTTCTGCATCACTCAGTATAATCTCAGCCGAACAAACATGGAAATTATTTTAGGACAATCAGTTGTGATGTAGATCTATTTGTCCTTTTAACTGCTGTTTAACTTTGTATGAGGTATCCAAGCAGAGATTGTTAAAAGTGCTTTTCAGAATTATGGCTCACCTAAGGCAGGAATGGAAACAAATTTCTATTGGCCATCAGTTAATGAACAAGCAGCATGGTTCCAATTGGGAAGCTGTCCCTGGATTGTCAGAAAGAAGCGATTGTTCACCAGGCTCTAAACAGAATATGTTATTTCCATTACTTTTATCTCTCCTGATGAGCTTATAAATTGATAGAAAAAAATGAGTTGGCCAAAATAGACTGAGCTGGATGATGTATTTGTAAAGCACTGAGACGTAAATGAAATTTTAACAGCTCCCATTGTGTCTGAGCACAGCAGAGAAAAAACAAGTTAAAGGAAGAAAAACTGTTTAAATGTAATAACATGGCATAGTTCATGTTCATTTTTAGATTTAAAACATAAGCATAACAAAGGAACAGACGATCTTGCATTCAAGTTGTTCACTGCTGTACAAACAGAAGGAAAGCATCAAGTGAACAATGTGCATAATGACCTAAGAAAACCTGAGGGGTCTGGAAGTCCATTAGCAAGGACCCTAACTCCTCCCTAACTCACTTGTTGGAGTCAGGAAGACTTGTTGGATTTAGTTAGTAAGGCTGTATCAGAGTTAGACAAGAAAATAACATTTATTAATGTAGAAACAAAGAAGGGACAAAATAATGGAGGTTTGAGGGATAAAACAAAGAACATGTACTGTAGTATGTCTGATATTTGAGGCTGGATTGTCAAATGAACTAGCTTGAGAGACTCCTAGGAGATTAATAAAGCACAGTTATCTGAATATCTTACTGAGTGTGACTTTGGGGGTCTTTATAGTCTCTGCCCCTTCTCTCTGTGGCTCTCTCTGTTCTCTATGCTTCCTAACTGCCAAGACTTGACTAGCTCTCTTCCTCCACCTTCTTCTGCTATAATATTTCTACCTTGAAGCCAGCTGAACATGGACTAAATGTTTGTTTTAAACAGTGAGACAAAATAAGCCTTTTCTCCTGTAGGTTGACTCTTTGTTCACAGACATAAATGTCTGACTATGTATGATTACAAAGTAAGAAATGAGTGTGACATACAGAAGTAGTTGAGAAGTCTTTTCAGAGAATGTGGGAGGAAGGACTATCGCTAAAGCAGTTTCAAAACAAGCTGGTTACTAGGATGAAACCACACGCACGCAGCCTGAGAGGGACCACTTCAAAATTCAACAGAGAGAAAACATTGAAAGGCACTCAAGCATGAAAAGTCAGTTCTCAAAATGTCTGTGGATCTATCATTGGAACCTCTAGGTTAAGAATCAGAAGAGTCTGCGGCTGTGGAGGAAAAGGGACAAAAACGTTTTGACGAATTTTCTTTTTTGAACTAAGCCCAACATGCTCAAGCAGCGGTAATTCTCCTCCGTGGATGTAGATACTTAGCAATGTTTGGAGACCCTGAATGTCATAATGGGTGGGTGTTTTGCTACTGCCACTTAGCGTGTAATACTGCTGAGCCTTTCACAATAAACATTTCAACCCCAGCAGGACATCCTGCTGGATTGCCTGTGATTCACTCAGTTTCTCCCTGTTTTTAAGTGTCCTGTTATTAAGAACGACTGTAGAATGTGCTGAAAATGCAGCATTTTAGATAAGGGGGAGCTAGCCATAACAGTAAGGCTCTGTCCCTCTAACCTTGAAATAAGATGTCCTCGTGTGCTTTACCCCAGCAGATTCTGTGACCTAGCAACTGTAGCAACATCACAGGGCACTGTTGCAGGCTTTCAGCTTTGGGGTGAGTGGGACAAGGTGGTCCCCACGGCACTTGTCTCCGGGAGCTTCCCTGAGTTTTAAGGGATCAACTTGCCATGAGTACTAGCTTTTGTTTTCTCTTGCTGCCTCTGTAATAATAAATATGCTTCATGTGATACGTGTAGGCGTCCAGGATCACCAGGTTCAAAGAAATTGGTAAACACTGCAGAATCAACCTGTGGTACAAGGCTCTTTTATTTAAAAAGGATTATTCAGCCCAATATGCCAGTGGTGCTGGGTTTGAGAAGCTTACTGTAAGAAAACAGTAGATGATATCATACACAGAAAAGGGGTTTGAGGACTAGGCAGAAATGTGCAGAGAATAAACAGAATATGAAATAGCTATTGAGTAAAATGATAGAAGCAGTTATAATGCCTGAAGATGTCCAGGGTCTGGCCCAAATCCATAGAACCATAAGGTACTTTGTCCGAGAAGTAAGATAATGAACACAATGTATGTAAATTATAAGAGAATAAGGTAGAAGACAATTGCACCGTGACCACAGAGGAATGGGAAGCAATTTTGCTATCTGGTCAGAAGGTTCGTGCCACACAGGATGAGCCAGGAGCCATGTCCTGTGCTCTCACCTCTCCTTACCACCCAGACCACAGCTGACAGCAGCTCGCTTCTGTCAGTCTTCTCCGCCATGCCTACTTTTCCTCTGCGCCGCTGGGCGATTTGTTGATATTTGTTTC